CGTGCTAGTTTATCATCTTGTTTTGTTAATAGATCGATTCAATAAAAGCTCGAGTTCAAGTATCAAAGCTTTAATTGAGTTATGCTCGATTTTATCTCAACTCATTAAGTATCAAAATAATAATATTTATGTAATTTTCTATAGCTCAATAAAAGTTAAGCTTAACTCGTTAGTATAGATGAACGAGTCGAGATCGAGATTTTTATCACTCGTTTGGTTAACTAAACTCAATATTCAACTATCGAAGCTTTAGGTGAGTTTTGCTTCATTTTAACTCAACTCATTAAAGCTCGAAATAAGATTTTTTTTTGTGTAATTTTCTATAGCTTGATAAGACTTAAGTTCAGCTCGTTAATATTAATAAACGAGACTCGTTTTGTTAACAATTCAGCTCAATAAAAGCTTGCATTCAGCTATCATAATCTTTACCGAAGTTAATGCTTGATTTCAGCTCAACTCGTTATGACTCATAAATAATAATTTTTATATAATTTTCCATACCTCCGGTCACGATTGAGTTGACTTCTTAATCTTGATAAATGAATCGAGCTCGAGCTAATTTATCGACTCATTTTGTTAATAACTCAACTCAGTAAAAAGCTCGAGTTCAAATACCAGAAGCTTTAGTAGGGTAAGACTCGATTTCAGTTCAATACATTAAGACTCGAAAATTAGAGTTATGTAATTTTTTATAATTCTCATGTAATTTTCTAATTTGACAAGGCTTGAGCTTAACAAATTAATATTGTTAGATGAGCTGGCTCGAGCTCGTTTTGTTAATAGCTCAACACAATAAAAATTTGAGTTCAAGTATTAGAAGCTTTAGCCGATTTACATCTCGATTTCAGCTCAGCTCGTTAAGCCTTCGACGTAAGTATTTTTATGTAATTTTATATAGTTGAATAAGAATTGAGCTCAACTAGTCAATATAATGATAAATATGACAAACTCGAGTTTGTTTATGGACTCGTATTGTTTTAATAGCTCATCACTGAAGGAGTGAGAGCTGAGAAAGTGAACAAAAGGGTTTCTGCAAAAAATCGATGCCGTGCCTGAACCTCTCGACCAACGTCAGCCTTGACGGCGTTGACACGTCCGCCATCCTCTCCGAAGCCTCCTCCACCGTCGCTAAGGTCATCGGAAAACCTGAAGCTGTAGGTGGCTTATCCTTGTTATTTGCTGTTACTGTACTTCATTTCATCTGTTTTCTCCTTTTTTTTTTCACCGATTACAGTTCAGTCGGGGTAATTATTCCTTGTTCCTGTGTGATACTCGATTTTCTTGATCGGTGTGGCGCAAATTGTAGGTGTTTCTGAAAACTGATTACAAATTTAGGGTTTTTTTTTTTTAAGCTAGAATTTGGGGAATTTATACATGATATTGAAGCTGAGCTATTTTTTTCTTCGATTTCATGCCTTGCCCCGCTGAGATTCTGTGAAAAAAATGAGATAATTTCAATTGAAGTTTGGTTGGGCTTTAGTGTGCCTGTGGTGTAAGACTTAAAGTCATTCACCTATCAAATGAATGGGATAAAAACGGGATTGAGTCTCATTATGTTTTTATATGCTTGTAGTTTATCCTGTTGAGGTTATTGTTCTGTACTTCGGTTATATGTTGTACGATTTTTGGGATGAGTGAAGCTCTTAAACACATTTTTTAATACAAGTTTTACTGATGTAAAAACAAAAATAATGTAGTACGTGTAAATTGTAGTAATGTTACACTCTGATTTGTCTTTGCGGATGATTGTTATCTTCGTTTTGTTCTACTCTTGAGATGACCCCTTTACTTTATATTATCAAAACAAACTAATATCACTCCAAATTTTACTCTTTTTTTTGTTCTTTTTTTCTGCAGTATGTAATGATTGTGTTGAAAGGATCTGTGCCGATCGCATTTGGAGGTACCGAACAGCCAGCAGCTTACGGAGAACTCATCTCCATTGGAGGTCTAACCTCTGATGTGAACAAGAAACTTAGTGGTGCTATTGCTAGCATACTCGAGTCCAAGCTTTCTATCCCGAAAAACCGATTCTACCTCAAATTCTATGATACAAAGGTGAGCGAAACGAGCTACTTCAATTATGTTCGAAATGGACAAAAATGGTCTTATGCGCAAAGTATCTTCTCATCGCATATTCTTCTGCCTTGTTTAGGCCTGTCAGAGCCAAGAACATGCACAGTGTCTGCATGCTTTACACCAGTACTAAAAAATCATGTAATAACAAACCTTTTCACCATTCGGAGTCATTGGAGATTTCGTGTTATATTATATTAAATTGCAACTTTTGTGTGTATTTTTCTGATTTGGTCGATTTTCATAAATTTTGCATGCTTATGGTTTGAGTTTTAGGCTCTCCTAGTGCCTTTTTCGGTTCTTGTGCTTATGTCTTTCTCTTTTTCTTTTCATTTGTTTCGTTTTTTTGCAGGGCTCCAACTTTGGGTGGAATGGATCGACCTTCTAGGTTTCGAATTTCTTAAGTTTCGAGTTGATGCCTATTTTATGAACTTATTATGCACGAAAACCCCGTGTTGCTATGCTGCATGTGATGATGCATCGGATCTGTGATTAAATGATATTTGGCGTAATGTATTAGCTACTCGGCAACTTTTAAAATTAATGCGTTCTTTTACGCGTGTTATCTATTAGCTAATCGGCAATTTCTTATGTTTGATTTCATATATCGTTGAAATTGGATTTTCAACACTTGAAGATCTTGCTAGGAGCTAAAGGAATTATTAGGCTATGTTTGGTAAATCTCGGCTGACAAGTTAGTTTATAGCTTATAAGTGAATGTTGAGCTTATAACTGATATCTTATGGCTGACGGTTGACATTTGATGGTTAAAATGTTAGCTGATATGATTAAAATGTTTGGTAAAATTAGCTAATAAGTCAGTAGAAATAAAGATTTTAACTGAGTTATTTGAAAAACTACATAAAGAAGTTTACGAGATAAACTTGAGTTTTTTTTTTCAAGTCTTTTCTAAGCTTATTCGTAGGCTTTTAAGGGCTTGATTGTTTATGAAATAATTTGTTGAAATTGAGTTATTTTGGTTAACTATAGTGAATTTTGAAAAAGGTAGTATGGTTAGTTGTAGTAGAAATTTAAGAATGT